GGAAGGAGTAGAAGGAGAAAGTTGAGATGGATAAACATATTAAAAATTCACGCCGGGCGGTGGTGGCGCACGCCTTTAATCCCAGCACTCGGGAGGCAGAGGCAGGTGGATCTTTGAGTTTGAGGCCAAGCTGGTCCAAAAAGCCAGTTCCAGGAAAGGCGCAAAGTTACACAGAGAAACCCTGTCTCGAAAAAACGAGAGAGAGAGAGAGAGAGAGAGAGAGAGAGAGAGAGAGAGAGAGAGAAACTGTCTCAAAAAACCAAAGAAGGAGGAGGAGGGGGAGGGGAGGGAGAAAGAGGAGAAGAGGAAGAAAATAGAATGGATGTGGAACAGGCAACCAATAATACTGCTACACATGGGGATGTGCTACATGTTCCTTCATGAATAATTAAAACGCTTCCTTGTAACTACTGCATTTTTATTTTCGGCTGTCTGACATTTTCTGCCGTGTGTCCGCTTCTTCATCTGCAGGAAGAGGCTACACCGGACGATCTGCAATCTAGCAGTTCTACTTTATTCTACATCTGCGCAGGCCAGAAAGCAGTTGAGGTGCCAGAGAATTGACTCCATTGGTGAAATGTTTGCTGCACAAGCCTGAGGATCTGGGCTTGATCCTCAGCACCCACGTAAAAGGACAGCTGTGGCAGTGAGTACCTGTGACCCCAAGGCTGGGAAGGCAGAAACAGGGGCTCACTGACCCGCCCCAGTCCCAAAAGATAATGTGTTTCAAGAAGAAAAAAAAAAAAAAAGATAGATGGTGTTAATGTGCTGACCGGCCCCTTGAAATCCCGCCCCTTGGCGCCCCCCTGCGTCCTGACATAAAAGCCTCATTTTAAGGAAAAACCTCTTCCCCTTCCTCTCTCTCTTCTGCTTCCCCCCCTTCCCCGCCATGAGGTGTGCACACCTCCGCTTTCCCTTCTCTCTTCCTCTCTCCCTCTTTCCCTATCTTTCTTCTTGTAATAAACTCTTTCCACGTGAATGAAGCGCCCGGGTTGTAAATAAATGACCACCGCCACCGCCATGCCTGCATGGCGCATCTTGCCCGCCGCCCTCCCCTGCATCTGCCCTGCATGTGAGCATGTTTTCCCTTACGCACGGGATACCCTGACCCAGCCAGCTGGGAGTCCACCTCGTGATATATCATAACAGATGGCACGTGAGGAATGATACCCAAGGTTGACCTCTGGCCTCCACATACACATACAGATACGTGCATGCGCACCTGCACACATGCGCACACACAGAGAAAGTCAAAGTTAAGGGCAAAACTAACATAGTGATACAGGCCTGTAATACCAGAACTTGGAAAGTTGAGGCAAGATCAGGAGTTCGAGGTCACCTTCAGCTAGATACCAAGTTGGAGGCCAGCCTGAGCTATGTAAGACCTTGTCTCAAAAGAAAACCATTTTTAACTATGGTCTAGAAATGCTGGCAGGTTCAAACTAAGTCATAGGTATGACCATGTCCTTTCTTCTAAAAAAAAAAAAAAAAACTTAGAACATGGCCATTAGATTTGAAGTCCGGCAAAGACTGGAACCGGTACTATCTTCCAATCTTCCCATTAATTTATTTTGTTTGTTTGCTTGCTTGGTTTTTTTATTGTTGCCTCTCCCATAGACAAGGCTGGCCTGAATACCTGACCCTCCTGCCTCCACCTCCCAAGTGCTCAAACTAAAGGTCTGCACCATCATACCCACTATTGGTTTTGTTTGGAATTGTAGCTGTTTTTGTTTGTTTGTTTTTCGAGATAGGGTCTCACTAGGTAGCCTAGCTTTCTGGGAACTCACTATGTAGACTAGGCTGGCCTTGGACTCACAGGTATCCTCCTGCCTCTGCCTCCTCAGTATTGGGATTAAAGGTGTGTGCCACCACACTCAGCTGGTATTTTGCTTTTTGAACTAGCATCTCACACTGTAACGAAGGCTGTCTTGTACCTTACTGTGTAGCCCAGGTTAACCTTAATATCTCAGCAATCCTCCTGCATCAACTACCAAGTGCTAGAATTACAGAATTCCACTACCTGGCCCTGTTGTAGAATATTACTTTAACTATGTGAAGGTGTGTTACATTTGTTTATGTTGTGGAATATTGCTTTAACTAGGTGAAGGTGTGTTACATTTGTTTGTGCTGCGTTTGTTTAATTATGTAAAGATGTATTGCATTTGGTTCACCTTGCCTGCCTAAGGCACCTGATTGGTTTAATATAAAGCTAAACAGCCACTAGCTAGGCAGGAGAGGGATAGGCAGGCCTGGCGGGCAGAGAGAGTAAGTAGGAGGAAAAATCTAGGCTCGAGAGAGAAGAGAACGAGGGAGAAAGAGAGGGACATGCCTGGGGCCAGAAGCCAGGCAGCCGCCAGCCAGACATGGAGACAGAAAGAAAGTAAGGTATACAAAAAGAAAGAAAGGTAGAAAATCCCAAGGCAAAACATAAAGAGAAACAGATTAAAATAAGCCAAGGACGAGCATACAAAACTAATAATAAGTATCCGTGGCATGATTTGGGAGCTGGTTGGTGGCCAAAAGAAAAACCCTGCTACACAGCCCAGCTTCTTATCAGTGTTAGTTTGTTTGTTCGGAGACAAACTCTTTGTAGCCAGATGACCTTAAACTTACAATGTAGCTGAGGATGACTTTGAACTTGTGATCCTCCTGCTTCCATCTCCCAAACACTAGAATTACAAGTGCTAGGTGTGTGTCACCATGCCTAGCTTATTGATTGCTAATGTTAAAAATAGGAAAGTTAAGTATCCTGCCTTCCTTATTTGTGTAGCCATTGACATCTACTTGCTTCTAACCCTCATGAGACTGACAGAGGTTGACTAGATGTTCTTTTTTCTCAGGCATCTTTAGTGTGACTTCAACATCTTCCCAGAGCCCACACATGGCTCGCTATCTCTGCTTGGGCTGCCAATTATGACTACAGTGTAAGAAATCACTTCTGTGTCTGCTTCATTTCATAGACTGCTTCTGAAGTAACGCTCCATTCACTGTCTCACATGCATCCATTTCTTCACGGAGAACCATGAGATCGCCACTAAAGAAGACAGTCTGCAACCAGCTACCTTTACTACTCTTATCTCCAGTCTGAACAAAGGAGCTCCATTACCTTTAGTTTATGCCTACAACACCTTTCTCTAGTAAAACTGATTTGATCTGTAAACAGCCCCATTTTTACTTAGTAAAAGGCTATGATTTGTAATGAATGTAATGACATATCTGGATAGATATATCAGACATCCTGTCTGTTATACAGATCATTTGGCATAATAAATGCAAAAGAAAATTTGAGAACCTTATTTAAGCTGGTTTGGTCACACCTTCCATTTCATTTTATTCTTTTCAGAGCACAGTCTTTATATTCTGACAAGGGGTGCAGGGTTATAACTGACCGTGGAAACACAGATGTCTCTCAGCAGCCATGGTATACCTGCGTTCACCACCCTAGTTTCCAGGGCCTTCAAAGATCAGTTTTATTTTCTGGCTTGACCCCACTGGCCTGTTTTTTGTTTGTTTTTAATGTGTATGTTATACAGGTGAGGGTGATCTAGGAGACCAGAAAAGGGCATGGGATACCCCAAAATTGGAGTCACAGCTGTTGTGCTCTGTCTCTTGTAGGTGCTGGGAACTGAAGTTGTATCCTCTGGAAGAGTAGCAAGTTCTGTTAGTGACTGAGTCATATCTCCAGCCACCCCTGTTTTGAAATGTACAAAGGGAAATGCTGATGCGGCCAGGGGAGAAGGGGAGAAGATGTCCATAATTACTGGCTAAGCTGAATGAGCCGGAGTAAGTACTACTACCTCTTTGCCTTGAATGACTCTGAATGGATAAAAACTCCCTCTGCCCATCTCACAGGGTAGTTACAAAAATAAACACAGGAATGGGAAAGCAGATTTCTGAACAAATGCAAAGTTGCTGTTATTATTTTCAACTATAGAATTTCCTCTGCCACATGTTTTTTTTAACCACATGACTATTGCATACCTCACTTCAGACAGCATCCACTGAAGTTCACACTCATTCGTCCTTTGTCTGATGCAGATTCCATCAGCCCTGCTGCATCCATCTCTTTAGTTCATGTTCCTACACTATGTTTCTAAACACAAATCCCGCCATACAATGGAATACTGCATGGAACAACTTGGAAAAACCTCAACACAGCTGTAAAGGTCAAGTACCCTAGCAAAGGTTATATACTCAAAGTACCCAACAAGAAGTCAAAAGGAGAGAGAACTAATCAAATTAGAAAATGCCTCTATTGTGCGTGTGGTGGTACAGGCCTGTAATCCCAAGCCTCAGGAAACAGGAGGATTATGAGTTCAAGACTAGCTTAGGCTACATTATAAGACCCTGCTCACCCTCAAAAATAAGTTTCTGGAAGGAACCCATATACTATGTACTTCCATAACTAGGGATTCGTCCCATCCTACTCTCATGCTTTAGGAACAAGATAATATTCTATGGTTCCTAAGAACAAGGCAGAGAGAAAAGGGCATTCTAGTACATACTCAGGGGAGAAAGTGAGACAACTAAAAGATCCATACTAATAAACTCAGGGAGTTTGAATGTCTACCCAGTGAGTCGCAGGCCAATGAGACACAGCTATTTTTTGCATGGCATTTTTTGTAGGGCCTTCCCATCAGGAGACTGCATCCAAACACCGTCTCTTGTAACCATGGTGAAGGAATCCTTATTGTGTGTGCTCTTAGTACAGACAAGCCTGAGGTCATTTAATCCAACCTTGTATCTTTAAGCTGTAAACAATTTATAAATGAGGACCCTGAGTCTCGAGTCCTATGCCCAGGGGCGTAGCTTGTGAAGCCAGCATGTAAGTTCCCCAACACTCTGAAACCAAGACTTTTTTATCAAGCTCCCTAAACCTCAGCTTGCTTTCCCCTCCTCTTCCCTAAGTAATTAACCCATTTAGTCCTTTCCACACCCACGCCAGCCAGTAAATCCTAGGTCAGGCCGGGTCTGTTCCTGAGCTGGCCTTCACAAGGCAGCACAGAAGGATGCTCACTTGTCCACAATCTTGCCAAGCCTCTGCCACCCACCGCTGTCAGTGATCCTGAGCAGCTCCAAAGAGCCTACCCAGCTCCCCCAAGCCCAGGCTCCACCTGCCCGGCTGCGCACTTGCGAATCTAGCTCCAGACTCTAGGGGAGGACCCAGCGAGACCAGCGCATCGGAAAGAGAGCCAGCCGCGGGCTGGGCCGGGGTCCTGCTTCGGCGTGGCCACCGCGCGCCGCCGGAACTACGCTTCCCAGGCTGCCCCGCTGCAGCCGCGCGCCCCGCGCCGCGCCCGGCCCTGAGCCGCCTGTTGATCGCAGTGCAAGCCCGGGGCCACGGCGCCGCCCCTGCTGGTCGGACCCGAGCACTCGGGGCTCTTAAGGCTGTTGCTCAGCACCTTCTGCTTCGGGATGGGTGCAAGCAAGGGTGAGAACCTGGGACGGGAGGGGACTGTCGGGGCAGCCTGTCTGCAGCGCCCGGGTCCGCAGCTCAGCGGCCGCCGCACCCTGCGTGTCCGCGGGAGGATGCTCCATGGCGTGGCACGCGGCCAAGCGCAGCCCGCAGCAGCTTGCACCCGAGTGGCGGGTGCGCGGGGAGGCGGGGATGGCGAGGGGTGGCCGGGGACGCGTGTGGGTACCGGCTGCATGGTACCCTGAAGCCCCGCAGCCCCATAGCACCGCACTCTACACGCAGATGCAGAGAGGGCGCGGTCTCCCATCGCCCGGGGCTACGGAGCTTGGGTTTTCCAGGTTGGGCTTTGTTTCCCATTTTCTCCTCTCCGGCGAACGTGTGATAAGCTCCGGGAGTCTGGAGCATCTCGCGGCCTCATTTGAGCAGGAGCCTGGGAAGGGAGGACTCCGGTCGGCTTCTTTCCTGAGGTCCCCAGAGCTGTCACTGGACGCTTCAGCCTTCACAAAGCCGCCCTTTGCAGGTCCTAGAGAATCTTCTTCCTATTCTTCCTGGTTAAAATCATGCTGGTTCGTGCCTTCCCCGGGGCTTCCTTGCCTTAACCTGTTGACCTGCAAAAAAAATGAAGGTCGGTTTAAAATAGCAATAGTAAAGGTTTGGGGAATTTTTACTTTAAAATGTCAGAAGGTGGGAAGGTGATGTGGCTAAAATGCAAATTGCAATAAAGAGGCCGAGAACGCCACGGCTTCTTCGGCTCCTATTAAATATCTGATTCACCATGCGCTTGGGAAAGGAGAAAAAAGAACATCAGAGGAGGTATTACAAAAGCATGGTTTCCGTAGCATCTCCACCATTGAGGAATCCTGGGCCAGACTCTTCACCTCTCTGAGCTGCGTTCTCCGTGTAAAATGGGGTATTTGGTGAAATGGTTTCTGGACCTCTTTTCTTGGATACTGAAATGGCAAGAGTGTTCAGCACTTTTACAGAAAGCTTGATGGGGACAGAAAGAACAGTTTTCCCGAAGGAAGCTGGAAGATTTTCAGGGCTTAGTTAATCGAGGTTTTTTGTTTGTTTGTTTGTTTTTCCCTCTATCCTCTTCAGTCTTGCTCACTATCACAAAGGTTTTGGATTTTATGTTAACCGTAAATCGGCAGGCCACAGTGTGGTGGTTTTGTTTGCAGGTGCGACCAGCTGATAAAGGTCGGTGGCTCCCTAGGGCTGGGCCTGAGCTGTCAAATGTGCTCTGCGAGAAGGCGGGGGAGGGGTGGGGGACGGGACTCCCGCAAGAAATAACCAGAGAGCATATACAGTGAGGAAAGAGAAAATGGTACTGATGGATTATTGTGTGAAAAGTGAATGCACAATAGAAGGTCTGAGAGGCACTGTACCAACACTGGCCTAACCCATCAACGGGTACAAAAGCTTTGAGTGAAAGAAGGGTTAGAGCAGGATTTTCGTATTATGTCAGAGTGTCTTACTCAGAACACATCTTTACAATGCAGAGATTAGGAAGTTCCCATCATCCCCCAAAGGTCAAGATGAGCCGCCTGCTGGTGAGCCTCCTGTTCTAATAAAAAGACCATAATTTCACCCACATAGTATTCCAGACAAGATGATGCAGGGGTAGGGAAACAGCTGTCATAGATGGCAATCCGAGTAACTGTGGATTGGTATATGTGGACTTTGACTCCTGGATGAGAAAATGATAGCTGTAAAAGATCATTTCAGGGTCAGGACATGGTGGTGCCGGCCTTAATGCCAGCAGGTAGATGCCTGTGAGTTTGAGGTCAGCCTGGTCTACGTAGTGAGTTCTAGGCCAACTTCAGCAACATATAGTGAGACCCTGTCTCAACCTTGCATCCAAAATAAAGAAATAAGTAGAGATATTTTGATACCTGAATATGGGCTGTATACTAGACAATGTGGAATTACTGTTCTTAGGTACAGTAATAGTATGGTAGTATATATGAGAATGTTCTGTATTTTTTAAATTTTAAATCTTTTAGAAATACCTTTACTTATTACTTGATACAATTTATCTTGAGCTTATCCATCCCTCCTTAACCCCCAATACATCCCCTTCCCACCTTCATGCCTTTGGTGGTGGTTGTGGTTGTAGTGGTAATGGTGGTAACTGTGGTAACCTACTAAATCCAAAGTAAAATGGTCTTGTTGGCTTGATGTGAAGATCTTGCCTTAGTAACCACAGCTGCTGTGAGTTCATGAGTGCAACAGCTGTGTCATGTCTAGAGGCCAGCATTTCACTGGACTACTCCCATCCTCTGGCTCTGAGGTTCTTTCCACTCCCTCTTAAGTGATGCTCCCTGAGCGTTGAGGTGGTTGATACAGGGATGGGCACTCCATAGTCCCTTATTCTCGGCACTTTGATCATTGATGAGTCTCTGCATTAACAACTGCCCACTGCTGAAGAATCTCCCCTGGCCAAAGTTGAGAGCAAGCACTAATGTAGGGGCATAGCCACAAGTATTGAGAAGACAGTTTGATGATGTGACCATTTAGCAAAAAACGTCAGTAGTAGGCTCCCCCTACAATAGGGCCTATAACCTTCCAAGCCAGGGTCTTTTGAGCAGGTGTGAATTCCCTCCTGTGGAGCAGGCCTCAAATTCAGTCAGAAACTGGTTGGTTGCACCCATAACTTTGTGCCACTGTTGTCCCGTGAGCACATCTTGCCTGGCAGGTCAGGGTTGAAGCACTCAGGGTTCACTGTTTGGGTGATCCATTGATGACTCTTCTCCCCCAGCAGCATACAAAGCACCCTCTGTCACAATGAAAGCTTAGGATTTTAGAGGTGAAGCTCACTGACGTCTACAATACGCTCAGCAGGTTGAGGGAAGAGCCGTCCGTGGTGGTAGAGCACGTTCAGGAGCACAGCAGAAAGACAGCGGTGAGAGCCAGTTGAGTCCAGAAGAGCGGTGTGCAGCTGGATTTTGCTCTGCTCTTGTGTAGGGCTGAACTTTTTAAATGAGAAATTGAAGGCGAATTTTAAAACAATAAGCAAACTAACAGAAAGGCCCATAGAGAGCTACATGGTTACTGACAGACCACTGTGATGAGTCTGAGAGAAGATTCTTAACTCCATACTCCCAAGCAAGACATAAATCTTCTCAGAGAAGTTCATGGAGTCAGGAAATATTCACTTCTCTCAGTTCTTCTTGGCTACTATTGATCATTTGTGCTTAAGAGATGAATCCCCTAGTTCTAACTCAAAGTGTCATCATATCCTTGGTACCCATGGGAAATTTGTCATAGAAAACCACCCCCCCATCTGCAGATTTTAAGTTCTTTTTATAAAATATTGTAGTATTTACATGTGACCAAATGTATTCTCCCCAGATTTTAAAAGCCTTTCTAAATTACTTATACTTAATATAGTGTAATTATATAATGTTCTGTGCTGTTTTTATGGAATGACAAGAAAAAGGTATCCACAAATAGAGATTGCTCTAGGAATAAACTCAGTCTTCCTTGAAAGCCATCTACCACTCATACATATCTTCAGCCCTCATTGTTTGTTTGTTTGTTTGAATGATTTGACCTGCAATTGATTAAAGTAGCAGATGTGGAGTTCACAGTTATTAGTGGAGCCAACTGTGTTAATAATTACCAATTATTCTTGCCCTAGCTAAGAACTACCCTGAAAGAACTGTCCACCCTAGTCATATTGGGGATTGAAGATGAGGCTCACACATGCTAGGCAAGCACTCTACCACTGAGCCATACCCTCAGCCTTCTTTTGTTTGTTTGTTTGTGTTTTCTGTTTGTGGTGATGGTGATGTTTTTTGTTAGTTTGTTTGAGACAGGATTTCTCTGTGTAGCCCTGGCTGTCCTGGAACTTGCTCTGTAGACAACGCTGGCCTCAAAAGCGGTAATCTGTCTGCCTCTGCCTCCCGAGGGCTGGGATTAAAGATGTATGTCATTACACGCAGCCTCAGCCTTCTTTGGTTTTTTATTTTGAGTCGGGGTCTCAACAAGTTGTTCAGGCAAGCCTTGAACTCATGATCTTTCTGTCTCAGCTTCTCGAGTAGCTGGGTGACTGGCCTGCTCTACCAGGACCAGCTGTCTTTTTCCTTTTCACATCTGAGATCTGTGTCAGTATGTAAGGGAATCTGAGAAAGTAAGTTCTAGCTAGGATTGAAGGGTAGTTCATTTTCCCTTCCACATCTGAGGTCTGTGACAGTATGTAAGGAAGTTTGAGAACATATACTAGTATCAAGTGGTCTTTCGTTTTTACCCTGGTTGAGAAAATGCTAGTGAAATAACTAGTGTCTGACAGAACATAAATAATGAAATTCCCTCTTAGTCCTTTTGTGCGTCAGTCACATGTAACCTTGTGTAAAAAAACCTTCTCTATATCTTGTTCAGAGAAATTTCTAGAAGGCATGTGCAGAAGACTTCCTACTACAGAATAAAAGAACAGAGTCACCTCTCATCAGGTGTGATGGCTCATGCCCCTTATTCCTAGCACTCAGGAGGCAGAGATAGGAGGCTCATCAAAAGTTCCAGGCTAGCCTGCTTCACATCATGAGTGAGTTCCAGGCTAGCCTGGTCTACAGAGTGAGTTCCAGACCAATGAAGGCTACAGGGTGAGACCCTGTGTAAACATACATACATACATACATACATACATGCATACATACATAAGATACTGCATTTAATCTCCTATACAGACCCCTTTTGTTCCAGGTTAATTTTTCTATAACTAGGTGTTGTGTGTATGAAAATGGCCATTTAAAGCATTCACATTTACTCGGATATGTGTCTGTAGTGATATACGTGTGTGTGTGTGTGTGTGTGTGTGTGTGTGTGTGTGTGTGTGTGTGTGTTCTCTGATTCTCTGTTATGCTGCTAAACATTTAGAATGTTGTTGGTGTTACAAGAAAAAAAAAAAAACTACCTAATCAGATCCAGGAAAGCTGGTTTATTCTTTGTGGTCAGAGCTTTTCATGGGTTACAGTTCTTGGATCTGTAGAATATTGTATACAATGTTTTCCAAGCTA